TAGAGTACTACTCACCCCAACCGTATTAAGTGTAAAAAGTTGAGGAAAGTGTGGAGTCCATCTATGTTACCAAAGTATGTTACAGTCGCAGTGGCGTAGTGCAACAAATACCACACAAATCAAGGTATTTCATGGTCATTTTATCTTACTTTTCATTCCATGTGCGAGGCATGACTCTCTTATTTTTTATTTTTTTTAATACTTTTAATATTTTTAATTTTTGAAAAAAATATTTTTTAAAAGAAGTAGACATATTTTAATAATAAAATAAATGTGTAAAATAATTTTTGATAATTAAAAATCATTAAAAAGTACAAAATAGACAAAAACAATGACTTGTCACTGTATGTTTCGACACTCCACTCATTTGTCACACGGTGACTGGGTTATTTTTTATTGGTTGAAATAGTCCATGTCACCGTGTGGCATTTCATTTTTGTCTTGCCATTGCTAATGCTCTTAAAGTAAAATAATACTTATTTTCGTACAACATAAGTGTTCATTTTGATATAAAATAGTATTCATTTTCATATATTTGTTCAATACAATTATAATGTTCATTTACGAATAACATAGAGTTTATTTTCAAACACAGTGATACTCATTCTAAAATAAAGCAATGTTCATTCTCAACTAACTTACCGTTCATTCCACCTTTCTAAGAGTTTGAAATCAAAATCAATCTGCAACCCTTTTTCATCCTCTTGTCTAATTCGCTGAACTCTTGACGTTTCTATATCAACGACTTCCTATATTTGTAAAGCCGCCACCTTCACCTTTGCAGCCATCCCCTTCACCACCATCGCCTTCACCTTCGCCGATCTGGGGTTTGCTGCTCCTCGCGACCTTCATCGATCTATGCTCCTCGCGATTTGCACCTTCTTCGAATCATAGCCGATTGTACCTAGATATAGGTACAGTCGGTAGTACCATATAATTTGCAGAAAGTATGAGGACTGCGGAACAACTAAATATGCACCACATTAGTGTACCACAATGTCTTAGAGATATATACATAGATAATATTTGAAAAAATCATCTAGAATATAAATAAAAGATACAGAAAGTATCAAAATGTGAGCTTTATGTTTTTATCTAGAAAACAAGAGTTTGTGCATTGATAATTAAATTGTATATGGACATTTTATAACACTTTGTTGGTATTATATATTGGCATGATTAATATATGATACCAAAAAAGGCGAACAACTCAGGCGAGAGAGGCAAAAAACTGAGCAACTCGGGCGAGAAAAGCAGACAACGCCTTGCTTGAACATTTACATGCGGTATAAGGTCGCTCGGGAGGCGCTCTCCTTTGGAAACTACACTTGACACAAAGTTCAAAGAAAGTAAAAATATGTTGTTCAAAGTAGGGGTGTTCAATCGGATCGATCTGATCCGATCCGATCCGAAAATTTCGGATCATGCAAAACTCATTCCATATCCGATCCGAAAATATTCGGATATCTGAAATTCGGATATCCGATTTTTCGGATCGGATCACTGGATTATCCGAAAAGTTGAGTTTTTAGCTAAAATTTACAAAAAAAAGGTAAAATAGCAAAATCAACCCAAAATATCAAACTCAATATAGATTTACTAAAAGAAAAATTCCACCACTTGGTAATGGCCTAATAAAAAATGATACCAAATTTAATTTGGGAGTAACTTTGGCAATTTTGCCTAAACAAACAAAAAAAACACTATTAAAACAAAAAATTCTAAAATGCTAATGCAAAAAGTCCAAAATGAGTGATTTCCAAAATCAACATAAAATTACATTTAAACATATAGTCATAATATATATCCATAAAATTCCAAAAACATATAGCAAAAAAAAATCGGATATCCGATTATCCGAAAAAATCCAGAAATTGAATCCATATCCGATCCGATTTTTTTCGGGTATCCGATCCGAAATATCCGCAAGCTAAAATATCGGATCGGATATCCATTTTTCGGATCGGATCGGCCCAGATCGTGGACGGATATTTCGGATCGGATATTTTTGAACATCCCTAGTTCAAAGTGATGCAGGCGAGAGAAATATTGTGAGCTATTCCAAATTTTTCATGAAAAATCTTTTTTTGGGAGTCCCAAATAGAAAATAAAGTTTTTATAGGACGAATGAATTAAAATTTTTTGTACTTTTATTTTTATATCAATTTGGAAATAAAATAATTACAAAGGAGATAAATTTTATGTATTGTTTCAAAGGAGAGTATTTTTGGGGTATAAACAAATCCAGATTCTCCAAAGTTGAATAACCGTTGGTATTTAGTAATTCGACGCAATTATACCGAATCACATTTCTCCTCTGACATTCGACATTTTCCTAATCAAATTTCACTCTCAAATTTCTATTTGGATTTGATAGTCCACAGATACCTGAAAGAACGAAAAAGAAGAAGAAAGATGTCTGAATATTTGCCTCAGGAATCCAGATCCCTAACGAAGAAGAGCATACCAGGTCTTGCAAAGGGATGTGCATTTCACCACCAAGAAGATGCTTGCCTATTTGCCCCCGAAGTCATCTAGCTCATCCCAAGGAGATCCCCCCTCGGATTATGTGGTGAAATGGATAGCCGTTTGCAAGACCTGGTACCCTCTCATCAAGTATCATGCTTTCATTTCGACTGCAGACTGGGGCTCTTCACGACCAGGTCCTTATTTGTTACTCTATATAGCATTTGATTTGATGCATTATACACTAGGTTTTGCTTGATGCCCAAAAGCCAGATCCTTATTTGTTACTCTATTTAGCATTTGATTTGATGCATTTTTATACTGTATACTGGCATTGTGTTTTAAAGCTGTTTTGTTACTTCTGAAATACGATAATTGTGGTTGGATTTGAGTTTCTATTGTCTTGAGTACATCATTTTACCCGGAACTATATGTCTTGTGATGATGATGATGGTGATGATGTACTCTTCATCACTCACACCCCCTACTGTAAATGCGTGCAATTTGTATAACAGTTGATGATGATGATGATGTACTCTTCATAACTTGCACTCCCCCTAATTCTTTGCAAATTCAGATTCATTTATCATACACATGCTTTTAATTGAAAAAATAATCACAGGGTTCTTTTCTTTTTCCTATTTAAAAAACCAGGGGAATTCTTCCCCTATTTTTTGCAAAATTCAAATCTATTTATTACTCTATATGTTTAATATAAATACCTAATTTCATGCTATACAGTTGAGCTGAATCCCTAGCTCAAAGAGTTGTTGTGCTTGATTCAATCCAACATGTTCTGTGTTTCAATCTTGTTTAATTATTTTGCCAAAACAACAAGGTAATGGTGTGAAGAAGAATTTTAGATTTGAGCTATGTTTAAACTGAATGCATTCTTGTTTGAATTTGACATTCTGGCTTGTATCCTTGCAGACAACGTCCCATTGGACATGGGGTAAATCTTTCAAGATCTTCGTTCCACAAGTGTTAACAAAATGGGTAACAAAACCCATTTTATCGTACTAGATGTTCCTCTTGACATTTAATTCCATTTTTTTTTGTATATAGAATTGATTTGGTGTGGCCTTACTGAATGCTCTATCTTCAATTGTTCTCGATTTAGGTACTGCAATGCTTAACTTAATTTTCCTGCTGATTACTTATTTAGTATTCCAAACTATGAGTAATATGCATATGAAGTAGGTCAGGTTTTTGTTTGCTTCTTTTTTCCTGTCCGTTTTTGTCAATTTGTGTGTTTAATAGAATAATTCAACTCTTCTAGAAAGCTCTTTGTAGCTGCTCCTAATGTCCAAACAATGAGCCGCCCTGCTGCATTTTTTACACCTCTACTGACTTACTTCATCTTACTACTGTGCATCAAGTGATCTTACAACATGAGATCAGTTCACACCTCTTATGGACAGGCCATACTTGCTAATTATAAACAGAGAAAAATGCTTTTAAAAGAAAGTATGGTACAATAACATAAATAAACCATACAAATTGGAATACTCCAAATTTTGAACTTGAATTGAGAAATTAAGAACGAGTTGTAGTTATTCTAATTCCAATCTTAAAAAATGAATGTTAAACTTTTAAAATTCAATTGATGTTAGAACATTAAAATGAATACCACATTTATAGAAACTAAATAAGAAATTATAATGAAAATAGTTGTTAGAGTATAAAATCTTCTTTGAGCTTAATACTTTAAGTTTGAAGCTTGTAGTTTAATTTGTTTCTTGACAAGATATTAGAGCTTTCTTGACCTATTGGTGACAAGTTCGAATCTCACCGCAGGCCTGTTTTAAAAGATAAATATTCACATGAAAGGTTTGGGCGAAAACAATCTTGGCCCTTCGTAAGGGGACGTGTTAGAGTAAATTTTTAATGGTCTAACAACCAAAATCTTAAGCTTTTACTTGAGTTGGTTCTTCACAACATTGATGAAAGAGCAAAATTAACTAATTTTTTCCTTTTCTCCTCCTCCAAATAATAAGTCTGCCTCTACTAGTTCAGACTTCATATTTTCAGCAATGTAGTCATCTTCAGTCGTCTAGTATATTTGTCATTTTTCACAAAAGGAACATAGCTATTGGTAATTGAGTAGTTTGGGATATACTTGTACTCTCCAGTCTCTTCTCCCACTTATACATGTCACTGAGTACGGCATATTACATGAATCTTTCTAAATAAAACTAAATACAACATTCTGTTTTTTATATTTTTTCAGTCTCTCTCGTGCTGGGTAATGTTGTTGCCAAATTTTCCAAATATTAATGTTGAAAGTTACCTTCTTTTGTTCATATTAGATTCTTTTTTTGAGATGAAACTAACTTTAGAATAACAAGAAGGAACCACGTGAAGCATGTGTTCTTTGCATGTTCAAGTGAACTATTGAATATTATTGCACTTAACTATGAATCTTTTAAGTTTTGAAAAATGATGCAGAAGTCAAAAAAATAACACAACCTTAAATCAACAACAACAACAATAACAATGACACAACCAACAACAACAACAAGCCAAGTAAAATTTCACATGAGATGTCTACGAAGAGTCGAAGACCATACCCCTATTATGAAATAGAGGTTGTTGGCAATAGACCCCTTCGTAATTCTAATAAAATATGAAAATATGTTATCATCACTCCCCTGAAATAAAACAGGTCTCACTTGGTAAAGGAAACGGGTAAGGAGGCACATGAACTTGAACAGTCTCTTCAAGCATTTGGGTGACCATTCTCATAGTTGGCCTCAAAGTAGGGTCTTCCTGAATGCACCATATTGCAGTCATTATGAACCTTTTGATCTTTTCCATATCATTCAAAGCCTCTGTGTCATCTTCAACTAACAAATCCAATCTGTTATCTTTGAAGCAATCGGTTAGCCAATCAACCAGAATAGCTTTATCTTCTCCACATGCTTCGACATCCTCAAAACTTTTACGGCAGGTTATGATCTCCATCAGCAACACCCCGAAGCTGTACACGTCTACCTTCACTGTGACTTTGTTGTTTCGGAACCATTCAGGAGCCACATATCCTTTTGTGCCCCTAATGCAAGTCTGGGTTCGACTCTCATTCAGCATTAGAATCTTTGCCAGCCCAAAATCTGAGATTCGAGCATTGTACTGATCATCAAGAAGTATGTTTTGAGGCTTGATGTCACAATGAATGATCTGGGTACTACATTCATCGTGTAGGTATGTGAGGCCATGAGCAATCCCTATTGCGATCTTGACCCTCTCGCTCCAACTCGGCCTTAGATCACCGAAAAGGAAGTTTGCTAGTGTTCCGTTGCTCATGTACTCATAAACCAATATATGATGTTGGCCTTCGTTGCAATATCCGAGTAGCCTGACCAGGTTTTTGTGATGTGTTTGGCCAATCACATTTATCTCAGCGCTGAACTCAACTGCTGAATCGCGATCCACTCGATCAAGCTTCTTCACAGCAACGATGCCCTCTGGCGTCTCCCCCTTGTAAACGATTGCAGAAGCCCCTCTGCCTATTTCCTCAGTGAACCTGTTTGTGGCTTCTGCTAGCTCTTTGTACAAGAAACAAGGCAAATTTGATTGCAATGGAAGGGAAGCAGATGCAGTTTGTTTGGATTTCCTTTTATGGATGATATACAACAACACCAAACAAGTTGCAGTGATGAGTAGAATGTTGACGGACACGGAGGTTCCCAAGAGCACTTTTTTAACTGAGGAATCCTCTTCTGGAGGATTGCCATTAGCATGAGGAAGAGGAGGAACAATACCTTTCCTTACTTTGAGGAAAGTTGTTCCATTTACATTGGTTCCAGTAATTCCATTTGCCAGAGGGAGTTTCTTCTTCCAGCAAGTATCGCCTGCGTAAACTGCAGCATCACATAAACAGTCATTCAAACAAGCAGCTTTGCACTCATCTTTAGTACTCGGATTGATGCGTTCCATGTCGTGATACCACCAATCTGTATTTGGCATCTCAATCATACTGTTGAGAACGTCAGGTGAAGCCTTTTCTCCATCACCTGAAATTCTCTTATTACAAGTCTGAAGAAAATCTTGGGTACAACTTCCGTGTTTGTCGCTGGGATCAAGCAACGCATAACCTGGCGGGCACTTACAAGATGTTCTCTTGTTAGTATCTAGGGAGCAGAGATTATTATAACCACAAGCCCCACTTCCATAAAACCCGTCCTTAAGTGCAGGTGCGAATGCGAGACAAATATTATCTGGCGAAGTCCAAAGAGGGATCCAGCTTTGGTTAGCAGCAGATTTCTTGGGAAGCCGATAAAGAACCAGCACTCCATCAAAGTTCAGAGTCAGTCTCAAGTAATATTCCACAGAGTTAGCGACAGGCCAAAGCTTCGTGGCGGTTGCATTGTCTCTCTTAAGTATAGAGACTGATCCGTTCTCACTGAACATCAATTTAGAGCCAGAATTTGTCTGGTTAGAAGGACCAGCCTTCCAGTTGTAGTAGACTGCATCGAAATTTGAAATGGCAGGAGAGGTTTTGGTTGCTAGTATCAAATCCCCATTACTGTCCATCACAAGATAGAACCTGCCTTGTGAGAAATTTGCTTCAGAGTGGCGGGAGATGAGCTGCCCCCCGTTATCCATCACCTGTCCGGGCAGAAGAGTGTCCTTTGGGTGTCCAAAGGTATCCCACAGCATGGTGGAATTATCCCTTGTGGCAACAAGGGCAAAATTTCCCGCGTCGTTCAGAATGGCATGAGAAATTTTCTCACTGAGCTGGTCCGACCTCCACAGTTCTGTTCCCTGAGGATCACTGAGGAGCAGCCCACTGTCGGCATCTAGATTCACTGTAGATCCCTTTGGCGCCGGAGAACCATTGGCATACCATACAATGGAATCCTCGGTTACATTAGCATACCATAGGCACAGCATGAACTGGTCTGTGCCATCAAGTTGCTGGAACCCGAATGCGAAATTACCCGAAGGGGATGAGACCCATGGCTGTCTTTTGGAGGTGGTTTGAGCTGCAGTCAGAGACTGCCCAACAACTATACTGGAACTGTTCTTTTGTGCATGAATATGCACTGGAATGAGAAGCACTATTGAGAACAGAGGAAGAAGAAGAAGAAGAAGAAGAGGAGGAGGCTGGTACCACCCCATTGCAGAAGGAAAAATCAAAATGTGGTGGCTAAATGGCTTGTGGCAATTACTCGGATTTATACTCACAAATAAGCACCCTTTACAGTGCATACCGAGTAGTACTCCGTGCTTGACTTCTTGTTGCAATAAGACTATAAGACCCATTCAATAGCCCGTTCGTGTTTATTTGGAAATGTCAAAATTCAAATATACCCAAAAGGTTGACCAATTATTATTGCATGAATTATTGAATCCAATGAATGGTGGAGAATCTGGCAAAATCCTCACTTAAATGGACACTTTTGGCTTTAATGCTTTGGCTTACATCTCTCTTTTGTTTGTTTAAAAGTAAAATTGTCTATGCCATATATGGGGTGAATTTAAAGTGCACCTTTATTTGGGATAATCATGCTGGTAAATGTAGGGTCTCTTTGGGAATAGCGTTAGCGTTTTGAAAAGGCTATCTACGGGCAACGTTTAGCATTGACATTTTCAAAGTAATCTGCACCTTTAAAATTTTATCTAAAACGCTAATGCTAATCTCCAACGCTATTCCCAAACAGGCCTGTGAGGTTTTTTATTACTAACATTTGCAAAGTATTCTTGATTCACTATTTAACGCATATTGTACTTTAGGTTTCTACTTTAAGAAATTCTATGTAAACATCACCTATAACACCATGTTTGACATCACTTTTAGTGACGGGTCCAAAATTAAAAGTTCATTAGAGGCAATTTAGAAAGAAAAAAAAGGAAGAGCGCCTACCCGTGCCCCCCCCCTCTTGTCCAGCCGACAGGATAGTGAGGAGTGTAAATCATGGTATAATCTTATTTTGATCTTTAGAGAGGTCGTCTCGTGCCCGGTGCGCACAAGAAACTATTAACAAGATTATAACTCTCACACTGCTGCTGTCAGGATTCGATCTTATGACCTTGGGCTTGACATCCTCCCTTTGGATAAACTAAGCTACCCATGTGAGCGAGAGGCAATTTAGAAGATATTTGGACTCGTGGCACTATCTTTGTTGGGTTGAATTAGATTGGTATTTTAAACTTTAAAGTAAAAAAAAGTTACCTAGAGCACCAGGTGCCTTTGTCTCCTCTCGCCTCCATATATATCCTTATTCCACCCAAAACCATTGTGTTTCATGACAGAAATACTCTCACACCAGAACATTTGTGACTCGTTATTCCAAATGCATGCCGCAGTTTTAAATTTTTTTATTGATCTTGTGAACTACTCCTTATCAGTCTGATTTTTTATTTATAAATTGGTCAAAATTACTTATACAAAGTAAGTTTTTTCAGCTGATATACCAATTGATTACGTATTCTTGCATACTTATAAACTGACCTTAAAAGGAGGAAAAACTTGGCTCAAGTCATCCCCAATTTATATATACTCTAATTTTTTTTGCGTTTGGAAGTCTTCTTAATGGCCTTCCATTTTAGTCATTTACAATTCTACTATCACTAGAAGTTTCTCATTACATTAAAATCAATTTGATGTCCATAAATTGATAATTTTCCATTTATAACCCCATAACCATTTGCCTATGTGGCTATGTGCAATGATTTGCAAAATTGTTGTTTAAAATAACACATTCCAATAAACAATACATAGTGCAGAAATGCAGGGTACCAATTAACAACAATACAAAGAACATTCTTCTGTAGTTCTGTACATGTATGTATACCATAAATTATAAATTTTAAAAAAAAATCAATTTGATGTTACAAACCACTCGGGTAGCCCGCAAAGACCATTAGATCACAGCGCCCAGTTGCTCAATCTAACGGTCGGGCACCCACGGAATCCCCGTACTAGTGGGTCGTTTCAACCAAACCAAACTCTATAACTTTCTCAAGTTCAACCAAGAGGCTCACATCTATAACTTTCAAATGATACTGCCAAACAAGGAGAAGCTCTTCCGTGGGCGAGAAGACCTCGGAACCTCAACCGATGCCCTCGGGGTGGGCCCCGCACTTTCAATCACATCCGGTCGAGCACCGGATGACCGAGGCAGACCCAGTTTGCACCCGATCTTCCGGGCAAGGAATCCAGGGGAACCAAGCTGGCTGTGTGACTTAGACACCTTACTCAACTCGCGCTTCATCTTACTAAACTCATCCTCCAATTCTCCAACTCTACACCTCATCCTCTCCAAATCCACCTTTAGAACTTCATTTTCCCTCACCATTGAAACCCACCCATCTCTCTGTACAATGCTCATTGCAATGTCACTGGCCCTACCAGTAGGACCACCGGCATTAGCAGTATCTGAGTCTAGGACATGGAGGCAGCCAGCTAAGGCTGTTCTTAGCTGTAGCTGCTCGAAGAATAGAACTTGGAGAATTATTCGGAGTGGCAGCCTTTCGTTTTGGGATGCATGTGCACAAGCATCGATTGAAAGTTTACGGAAGTTTATCACATTGCAAAGTTGTTCCCTTTCTTTCTCTGAGAGCCAAGGATGAGCCTACAACATGTTATTTAAATCCACAAAAAAAAATACCAACTTTAGTCCTTTGTATTGTCAGTCAATTTGGTCCTCAACTATGCAAGTCGGACCGCATACATATTAGTCTCTTACTAGGAAGGGTGTTTTTGCCAATTCGACCTAATTTCAAAACAATTCAACTCTCACTATGTAATTTGGACACAATTGAATCTGATCCGGTTTTGTTAAGGTTTAATCTGATTGTAGTTACATTTAAAGTTGTTTACGATCTGACCTGGTTTGATTTGGTTCTAACAAGAATAAGTTGAAGATAACAAGTTCTTAGTCTTTAGTGGATGAAAATACTCTTCATAATCAAAGATTAAATGATATCAAATGACTATAATTCACAGAAATATATATATGTCAACGAAGCTGACAAACCTTGAAGTATATATCCAAAGCTCTGTACAGTCCATCATGAAGAGGCCTCGAAGAGTCTGGCAAGGCTTCTCCCAATGCACGCATTCTTTCTGGCTTCAAGTTCAAATCAGAAGCAACCTCTGCAATGTAATTGTCAATCAACTTTGCAACCCTACACAAAGGCTCAGAAGATGTTTGCGTTCCCGAATCAAAAGAAGACGGAGAGAACATTGGCATGAGAGAAATGAAGTGGCAAATCATCCGTTCAACAGATTTGGTATTATACAATGTATCAGAATCTGAGTATGAAGGTATTAACAGACTATCTAATGTTGCCAGGTCTAATTGAATTCCTATTCTCCTCTCCAGAGTTTCTTGGCAAGAATGGTTAATACCCAAGATCAAGGCAATACGTAAAAGTCCCAACAAGAAACGGCAAAATGATTTCCCTTTCCTTTCAGGTAAAAGTTTCACCATGGTTTCTATAAGACCCTTCTGATCAACATCTGCAACAGGTATCATACTGAAACTCGCAACGGTTCTAGTTGTTGTCCCGGATTTACCATTCTGCCATCGGCCCAGCCCGGGAAGGTACTTCCTGCAATAGTACATTATGGCACCAGCTATGTGTTCTGGTTTTATACCTTTGATTTCCATTGTCCTAATTAGTTGCTCAAATAAGGGTACACTGAGATAAGAGATGTCCTCAAACCACCAATCAGATGATTTGGTATGGATTCTTGCACCGGTGTTTATGCCATTCCACAATATGCTACCTCCCGGGCTTTGTAAGCTTCCATACATCCTCATGGGCCATCCAAACAAACTTGGGTCAGTACAGACCATAACAGAAAGGGCATTTAAACATTTGCTGATGATTTGAAGTTTGGTGGCTCTTGGAATCATAGAGTTACAAGTTTGGAGTGCCAAAATGCAATCTTTCCAGTTTGTTAGTATGTTCTCGTGGAAGTAATCGTCTGACTGGGAGAGTAAATTACCTTCTCCATACTCATCGGTCATTTCTAGGTAGTCGGCTGCACAATAAACCAACACTATGTTTCTTGGAGAAAATTCCAGCCGATTACCATAACAGAATTTAACAATAACCAGGAATATGTCAGGACCACCGGGAAATTCTTCTAGTCTTGTTGTAGAAGTATGTACATGGGTGCCTTGAACATCTTCAAGTGCTTTTAATATCCTTCCACATTTTGATATAAGGGGAAACTGCATAGTAAGCATTTATTAAGTTGTTAGATGGACGAAAAATTAGACATCAAAACATTACATATTAGGGACGAAGGGAGTACTTCAGTACAAAAACATCAAAATGGTTTTCCTAATGTTTGGTTTTACATTGGAGGCTACATATTAGAATTCAAGTTGATCAATTAGTACTTCAATTTGTTACATATATTTCGTGATTGAAATATATCGCATCAATAATTCAGCATATGCAGACACGAAAAAGAACAAAGAATACCTTATGAAGGTGGAATTCCACTCCATCTACGACCAAAGAAACATCACTTGGCAAACTTGCATTGCAAAACCTGTCAAATGCATTGTAAAACCTGTCAAGCTTTCATTTAAAATCAAATCTTAATACAATATAGTTTTGTCTAATCCACATTTGGAGAAGAAGGTGGAACTAAGTGACCAAGTCAACTCAACGAGCCAAGATCCTAGGTACCAAACCAAAACAAGCAAGATCCACCACATCTCACTCAACTTTGGGGTTTAAACTCTGTAAAGAAATATGTATGTAGGCCATATCTCCATGGCAAGACGTAGAAAGGCTATTCTAGAGAAGACCCGACAAATTATGAAGAGATGATTAAGGGCCTAAGACCCTAGGTGGATGGGGCAAAATGTGAAATTGACTTAATACAAAACATGGTGAGCAGGAAAATCATAAATATCTTCTTGTAGTAGTTGCCATAGTCCCTCCAACATGAAAACAAACACAAAATGACCTAGAAAATACTTAATTCCATATTTCCATAACACTTAGGATCACTGCTTTAAATTCACAACTAGCCCACCTAGGCATTTGGCCTCCCATGTCCACTACGGCCTGAAAAAAGTCAATTTAGATGCTAGGGCACATTGCAGAGCACTGATTATATGGCACAGCTATCACATTACAGATGAATACACCCACATACACATAAATATACAAATAGAGAAGACATACCAAGAAAGAAGAAGCTAACATATTAACAAAAAATGGAAATGTGATTTTAAGACAGTGAAACAGGGAAGAAAGAGCATTTACCAGGCATTCCCCTGACGGTAGAAGGAAGTAGCCTTCCCAAGAGGCGCCATAGGTGATCCAACCACTTTTTTTTCCTATTTCATGATATAAAAAGTAACAGAGCTCCCTCCTCTCGTCCTCGCAATGACAATCTCTGTGACCTAAAATTCAAATTCGTAGACAAAACAGCCCACCTAACACTTAGAAGGAGCTACAGGTCCAATAGAAGCCTTCCCCAGAGAGTCAAGACCCAAATTCACATCGGAATCACCGGATTAATTACAACAAAAAGAAATAAACAAAGATCCTCTCATTCTTCCAGGAACCCCACATCAGCCAAGACTGTGTCTTTTCCTGCACAAAGTGCGAATTACAGTCAATAAAGAAGTGGGTATATATCATACGGTGCATATAAAGCGAAAGAGACAAGCGGCGACACTCAACCGGCGTCGAAAAAGCTAACCGAAAGCTCAGGAAAAGAATCTCGATTTTCACGAATTCTCTGGGGCTTCGTTTGTTTGACCGGTAGCTTCTTAATGGGTAGTATGAAAGCAGAAATGAGAAAGCGGGAATGAGGGAGAGGGAAGAAGGGGAGGAGGGGCGGTGGAAAGAGAGCGGAAGGATGGAGACAAGAAGACATGGCTAATGATGAAATTTGGGGAGGTTGTGGTGGGGGGGAATGGGATGGGGTGAAAGTGGGAAGACGTGTAGTGGAAGACTGGAAGACAGGGTGGATCACCATCACCATAATGTGAATCGACGAATTTAGAAGGGGGTGGATTTGGAGAGGAAGGAGGTAATTTCTTATTGAAAAGTTCTAATGAGATCTCATTTCATTCTAATTATATTCAAAATTATTTTTTATTTTATTTGAATCGATCTGATTTTAATAAAGATATTTTAATAAAGATAAGTAATTTGTTCTCTTGATCTGATCTGATTTGATTTTGATCAAATTAGAATAAGTTTCGATCTGATCTGATTTAATTGTACAGAGTACTTATATTTAAAATTATTTTTAAAGAAATCATCATAAATAGAAGTAAAACATAAAGTATAAATGAAAAAATACAATTAAGTTAAAATCATATTTTTCACAGTGTGATTATAATTTCCATACTGTAAAATTTCATTGTATTTTTGACTGTCTAATTTTTTTATAATTTATAATTTTAGACCAAATAATATAAGGTATGAGAATACATTTTTTTTAAACCAAGGGAACACTTTTATTTATTTTATACACAGTAATTTATTTTATACACGGTAATATAGCACAAAACAAACTTACCTTTATAATTATTATTACGTTTATTATTTGGAAGAAAGACCAAAATATGACTAAAACATTGAAAATATACCAAAATAAGACTTCCATGTTTTTATTCCCGAAATAGGACTTACATTACCATACATGGTCATATACATTACCAAAAACGTATAGTAATTTGCACATGTACACTGCCACATTACCACAGGGCAAAGTCACATTACAACAGTGCAAAGTCCTATTTCGGAAAAAAAACATGAAAGTCCTATTTTGGTACTTTTATCTATGTTTTAGTCCTATTTAGGGTGATTTCTATTCTTATTTTAATTATTATTATTATTATATGGTACCATAATATTACCATATTATTATTATTCTTTCACGTGTTACTTTTTTTATTCTTTCACATGTGAAGTCAATGGGCAGTACCATATTATTACCATATTCTTTCACATGAAAATACATTTTTTAAACTAAGGGCACACTTTCATTTATTTTATACATAGTAATATACTTTATACACGATAAGAGCATGTACAATGGTGAGGCAAAAATGGAATGTCACACGGTGATGTGGAAAATTTGAACCAATCAAAAACATCTTAGTCAGCCTGTTGTAAGTGAGTGGAATGGCATGCTATGCAGTGGCAAGTCATTGTTTTTTACACTTTTTAATCTTTTTTTATGTATATTAATTATTAAAAAATATTTTATTTATCTTTTTTTACAAAAATAGATATACATACTCTATTAAAAAGCAAAGCTGTTTTCTTATACAAAATTAAAAAATTAAAAAATTAAAAAAGAAAAACAAAAAGAAAAAAATTTGCCTCGCAGGTTACTCGCAAGCCAAGTAAAAAATGGATGCCATGCCACGATTTTGGAAGAGTACAACTGAGTTGGCAGGGCGAGGCACTCACACCCCTTGCCGCTGCTCATGCTCTAATGGGATCAATAGCACAAAACGAACTTGCCTTTTTAAATATTTTTATTATTACCTGTATTATTGTAATTATTATTATATGGTACCAAAATCTTACCATATTATTATTATTATTCTTTCACATGTTAACCTTTTTATTCTTTCACATGCAAAGCCAATGGGGGATACCACATTATTGCCATATGAGAGAATAAATAATTATGAGATTATACCGTTTGAGAGAGTAAATAATTATTAGATTACCTTATACATGGCACCTACATTTTGAATTTACCATTTCAAGTTTTAGCACTTAATAAATAATTAATCATTAAAGTTTCACATGTTACCTTTATTATTACACCATACCAAAAATTTAAAGGTATGAAATTATCTTATTAATTATTAATAATTAATAAATAATAATTAATAATTAAAGTTTTACATGTTAACTTTTTTATTATACGGCGTTAAAAATTTTAAGGTATAAAATTACCTTATTAATAAATAATAATTAATAATTATAGTTTCACATGTTACCTTTTTTTATCACACAGGGTACCAATTATTATTATTATTATTATTATTATTATTATTATTATTATTATTATTATTATTATTATTATTGATGGATACCCCGAACAGGGGGTATCCGGTCTTTGTGTAATATTAGTTGGGGCGGTCCAGTTTGTGCGATCGGCCCGTTTGTCGTTTGTTAATTACTTATTTAGGGCGGCCCAGCCTGTTGGGCCGGCCCATTAATCTTTGTATGTAAACCCTAGCCTTCACTCTCTCATTATATATACCCCTCTTCTTGGAAGAGGAAGGGAAGGGGGAGCTCATTCCACATGCTCGGGACTTACGTTTAAGTATTATCCTTACTAGCGCAATTCCATTCTCAGTATACTTGACCCCATATT